GTTCAGGTTGGGCCCCACCCTTTTCCCCAGGTTTTTTGGGTAGCCGGAAAAAGGGGGAAATTTTTTTTGGCCAACCCTCCCCCCAAGGGGGGGGGGGGGCCTTGGGGTTTTCCGGGGAGTGGGGGGAAAAATATTTCTTTTGGCCACAAACCCGCCCCTGTGGGCCCGGAAAAAATTTGTTTTTGGGGTTCCTTCCCCCCCACCCACTTGGGCCCTTGTGAAAAAACATTCCAGGGTTTTTTGGGGATTTTTGGAACCCCCCCCCCCCCTCCCCTTGGGGGGGGAAAAATTTTTAATTTTTGGGGGAGGTTTTGTTCTTTAGCCATCCCCAAGAAGGTAAGCCCTGGGGGAAAGGGGGGACCCCCGGGGGGGGGGGGGGGCGCTGCGTGGCGGGTCTCTGTGATACGTTCTGAGACGTTGCTCAGACGTCGCTCAGACGTCACGCGTTCGCTGTCTGCGAAGAAGGGGTTGGTTTTCTATCTAGCTGTGACAGGGAAGAACCACGACTCTGTGGCACGTGAGCGGAGCTACTGTAGTATCAATGGAGGGGTGTGTACCCGGCCCGACGGGGGGGCTGGGGATGGTACTAGTTTATATTTTCGGCGTGGGTATCAAGACACGTTTTCTGGGCTTATGTTTTCGCCCAGTTTCTCCACCTGGGAAAGAATAAAGGAACACCCGACCTACCTACTACGGAGACCGTGCGTTAGGCGCCAAGTGGATTTTGTCCGTTCATGAGCACTGACAGCTCGAAATGATGATGCCTGCTCCCCCGTTGCCTGTGGTGTCGCAGGAGGACGTTTCGGCGCTCATGTCGGACGAGTTCACGAGCGACATCATCTCGGAGTTCAAGGAGAACAAGGGCAGCATCACGAGGGGTGACACGACCTTCAAGCTCGCCGAGTACTACGGCTTCTGCTGGGGGGTGGAGAGGGCGGTAGCCATGGCGTTCCAGGCCAGAAAGCACTTCCCCGACAAGGTAATGACGACATTGGTGGTTCCTTTCCCCTCAGACACCTCTGTTGTGTCCAAACACGACGGCTCTAAACTTGGCACCCTTGTTTCGTGCCAGCTTGCCTCGAGATCTTCACACGCAGACTTGGGCGCCCGGGTTTTGTACATGCCGGACGAAAATTTCCCTCCTTTTGCATTGGCTATTCCCCCCAGGAGGACGGTTCCTGTCGTAGTGCAGCGTGCCTGTTGATGGTGGGTAAAAAACCATCACCGGCGCGGTTTTGTGTTCTTCTTGAGTTTCTCCACATCTACGATGTGGTTGGCGCGTCGAGTTCGGCAATATCCACTCACGGAAGCGTATGGCCGACTTTTTTCGCGGTGTTTGTCTCTCTCCGTTGCCATTTTCTCCCTGCGTTGCCAGACTATGCACATCACGAACGAGCTGATCCATAACCCGGGAGTCAACGAGAAGCTGGATGAAATGGGCGTCAACTTTGTGCCAGGTCTGGGTGACAGTAGCTGCTCAGATAAAATTGTCCACAGGTGTCGTTTATCTCTGGTGTTGACTGACCACATTATGAAGTCGTTGCCGAAGAGGAGCAACATGCTTGTGGTTGCTGCTGTGTGTATTTCTTTGCTCTGTTGGGCGGCTTGGGCGGCAGCAGTGCCGGTCGGTGGACCATACGACGGTACAATTAATTTTGCCAGCCTGGCGTGATTTATTCTCGCGTTTTGTTGTTTCTGTCGTGGAAGGTGGCGTTCGTTCTGTCGTGTTTTTCCTTTTGGCGCACGGCGCTCGCGCTTTTCGTGCAAGTAAATTTAGCGTTGCGTTGGGATTGTTTGGACGGGCCCTGGAAGTATCTAGAATGTATCCACGACAGCAGTCGTTGTTGGCGTTTCTTCTCCTCGTCTCGCCCCACTTGAGGGCATCAACATCCGCCCGATGGTTTTCAGTCTCACCCCCCGCCTCTTGCATTGTCGGCATTGCTCTCTCCCCCATCACCCCCTCTCCCGTAAATCTCAGTGAGCGACAAGGGCGGCAAGGACCTGGAGACGATCGATGACGGAGACGTTGTGATCCTTCCGGCGTTCGGCGCGTCCCTCGAGGAGATGCAGACGCTCGACGAGAAGAACGTGCAAGTGGTAGACACGACCTGCCCCTGGGTGAGCAAGGTGTGGAACACGGTCGACAAGCACACCAAGGCGCAGTTCACCTCGGTGATCCACGGCAAGTGGGCCCACGAGGAAACGGTGGCGACGGCCTCCTTCTGCGACAAGTACCTGGTGGTGAAGAACATGGCCGAGGCCGAGTACGTTGCCGCGTACATCGCCAACGGGGGCGGCGACAAGGCGGAGTTCATGGAGAAGTTCAAGAACGCCATGTCGGAGGGCTTCGACCCGGACGTGGACCTGGTGAAGGTAGGGCTCGCCAACCAGACGACCATGTACAAGCGCGAGACCCGCGACATCGGGAAGCTGTTTGAGAAGACGCTCATGGAGAAGTACGGCCCGGCAGAGGTCGGGGAGCACTGGATGGCGTTCGACACCATCTGCGACGCGACACAGGAGCGGCAGGTAAGGCGGGAAGAGGGGGGTTCGGGCGGCGGTGAACCAGGAAGGGATTGTAGTTTTGGTGACTCAAACGCGGTGGCAATTTCATGTGGAAGGAGTTTGATAGCGATGGGGGGGGGGGGGTGTACTCATAGTCGTGCATGCCGTAGTCGTTAGACCATTGACCTCGCATCCCTACAAAGCCGGGACGGAGCACGCCGGGTTCTAACCGGACCAGGCTCTCACATCACCAAGCGCGAAGCGCCGTGAGGTATTCGGCGAGTCGCATGAAGGGTGCGCTGCATCCTGCTAAGGGTCGGGGGGAGGTTGTTTGCTTTCTATGAGGGCTGCTGCTGCTGCTTTGTGTGTTTTGTTGCTGGTTTTGCGGCGATCGGTCACCTGCTCTCTTTGCCCATGTGCATCGGTCCCGGCGTCACATCGAAGGACAAGACTCTTGTTTCGTTCCGGTTCGACGTTAGCCGGTACCTCTCGGTGCTTCCACCGGTACTGCTGGCTCGCAGCGCTGGTTCTGTACTGGTGCGAAGCTGGTTGTACAGTTCGATGCCGCCAAAGGTCTGTTCTACTGCGGCTGCCGCCACTGCTGTGCGTATGCGTTCACATGTATTTCGTTCAGCACACTCATCGTTGTCCTTGCCGTACCGTGTACTGACGCTGCTGCTGCTGCTGCTGCTGCTTCGCGTACGTACGTGCTTCGACTGCGGACAGGACGCCATCTTGGAGCTGGTGGAGGAAGAGATCGACCTCATGCTGGTCGTGGGAGGGTGGGACTCGTCCAACACGCAGCACCTCGCGGAGATCTCCGCCAACAAGGGCATCCCGACGTTCTGGGTCAACAAGGCTAACTGCGTCAAGCCGGACGGGTCGATCGCCCACGTCGACCCTCACTCCATGGAGGAGCTGCGCACCGAGAACTTCCTGCCCGCGGGGGAGATCGTGATCGGAGTCACCTCCGGCGCGTCCACCCCGGACGCCTACATGGAGCAGGTGCGGAGACGGGACTCGGTGTCTGGATGGGGGGGAGGGGGGGGGGGGTGCTCTTGGGCTGTTTTCCCCGCGCTCTGAGCGAAACACCGAAGCAGCAGCAGTTGCAGTGACTCGCTTGGGTGCGCCAATTCGGTGGCCTTGCGTTTTTCTGCGCCTTGCTCTCCTTCCGACTCTCTTTGCTCTATGTTGGCGTTGGCGTGATCTGCAGTGGTTCGAGCAGACCGAATTTTGTTGGTCTTGGGAGTGAGTCGCTGAACTGTTCGTTTGGTCTGGGCGCAGATAGTCGGGGAGGGGATGCCGGGGCACTTGCTCTCGCGCCCTTGGGTCGTGTTGCGCGCCCCCCCGTAACACGAAGGCCATGGAGGTCGGGTCGGAGAATCTGTGAAGGCGGTGTGTTTGTGGGGTGCATGGGACGCGATGAGGGTCCCACGCTGGCATACACGTCTAGCGTTGTGCGCTGCGCAGGTGTAGCGAACGGACGCCTGCCGAATGCTGGAGGGAGTTCCGTTTCATGCTGCAGAAAGCTTCGCTTTCTCAAGAGTTTGCCATGCGTGGTGGTCATGTTCGCATACTTGTCATTTTGCCGCATTCTCCTCTGCTGAAACGTCACTTACCTCTCTTTCTGTTCGTGCCCGTTGACTCTGGAATCCCCGGCACTGATGCTTGTCTCATGCAGGCGGTGGAGAACATCTCGATGCTCAAGAAGCTGGCAGCAGCGGCTTAATCTGGGCGCGACCGTTGGTAGGATGTGATGCCCGGAAACCAAGTGTTTGGCCAGGACGGGCGCACGCAACCCCACCAATAATTGCCATGCGCACCGTGCGCACAGGGCCACAGGGGGCGAGCGGTGTGGCCCGGGGTCGGGAGACGCCATGATATTTACTGGTGCACCGCCGAAGGTTGCATGTACCTGGTACGCGGAAGGCTTCGTTGTTGTTTTTTGTCTTCTGGTGTCTTTTCGTTGTTTGGGGAGCCCTGTTTTCGGCTATTTCCCGAGATTTTTGTCGCGAGGACGTGACATTTCAGCGGGAAACGCACTCTTCTTCTTCGGAGAATGGCTTGGCGGGGAGGGGGGAGCAGCCGAGCACCAAGCAGGCATGAAGAGAAATAGGGAGCGCGAGAGAGAAAGCAGACTTGGGTTAGGGTTAACCGTGTTCCCGCTACGCCGCTGCCGGCGGTGTTGGTGTTGTTTGTTAGTCGGGTATGTTCGGGTATGTTGCACGAAAGAGCTGCACGAGATACAAAAACGTCGGGTGAACAACCACACAAGCGAGCGCTCTTCTGAGGAGGTGCACCGAAATTTTTGTGTTGGAGTGTGATCTGGTTGCCCCCAAACTTGGGATGTGTACCATAGAAACACGCGGAATACGCGTCAACACTAAGCCAGAGGTTGCGCGTCGTTCGTCATTTTGGTACTCAATGGTCAGCAGATGACAAGATATGACAGACAGTAATTTAGCATGAACCGCCTTCCTTTCCGGTTTTGCACTATCGATCCATGTGTTGGTGTGAGAAAAGACCACGCAAAGGCGCTCCTGTGAGGAGCTAGGAATAGCGCATTCATCACAGCTGGTTCGTAACTTGCCCCCGGCAAGCATGGATCGTGGGTGAGACCCTCATGGCGCACGAAGAGAGGCCACCTCTCGCGAAACTGTTGAGAAAGCTTGAGCTGAATCTCTCGCTGATTGTGTTGATTCAGTTTCCTGTGTTAGTATATATTAGTATCGTATTGGAAGACACGGGCGGTGGATGATGGAAAAAGTGAAAACAAGGCCGTATGTACTGTTCTCGAAATAACGAACCAACGTCCATTTTTTTATCACGCGGGACAGAGTGTGTTTGTCGGCAAATTCCTCACGAGCCTCGCCGTCGGTTTTGGCGACATCTGGGATTAAAGGGCAAAGACCGCGGTGTTGCTCGTGCTGTTCCTCAATTGTGCGCAGCACATTTGTCAGAGAGGCAACAGGAAAAGAGCAGGTAGCCGCAGAAAAGTACCGCGATTTTGTTGATATTCTTGCAACGAGTGGACCATCGGTCCCTTCTGAATTCTCCGCGCCCGCCCACCCAATGCGATTGCTCACGAATGGGAGGCAAGGGAAGGCGAGTAAGGGAAATGGGTAAGGTAGAATGGGGAGACGTGCGATCTGATTAATCATGTCTCAACCCGCCCTCGCTTCTCCGCGATTGCTCTCTTCGTGTGACTGCAGCCGTTTCCCCGCTTACCGTACGTTCGCGATCTGCTATGTACAATAGTTTCCTCTGCCCTTGTGCTGCGTAGCCACAAATCTCTCCGCCCCCAATAGCAGTTATGTGTTCGTCCTCCTCGCTCGGCGCTTCTTGGCATTATTATTGTCTTCCGTGTCGTGGACAAATCGAAGAAAAACAGCACCGACAGCCATATGGCAGCGTCCAACATGCATACACGAAGAACAAGAGGCACGAGGAGACCAACAACATGGAGAATCACTTATTCACCTTCGTTCGCGTACCGGACGTCACGACCAAAAGCAACTCCGCGGGGCCTCACTCTATTGGAAGCAAGTTGGTGATCGACACTCAGTATCTAACCCCCTTTCAACCCCGAATGGAATGAGAGCATAATCACGCGTTTCCCGACGCCCACATCAGTCGCGATCCCTCTCGCAGGTTCCTCCGCCTGGAGGTGTGTGTGGAATCAGCCCAAAATCGGGGCTGCTGGTTGGCTGTACGGGGTCCGTTGTCGCAGATCTTCGCTCAGTCCAGATCCCACGGCTACCGTTTCCCAATCAGCAACAGCCGCACAAGCGTAAAAGAAGTCCCTTCTTCTTCCCTGCACATGGCAAGCATTAACAGCAGGGGAACAGCAGTCAAACCGCTGGACACGGCAGTTGTACAAATCGTGTCGCAACACCAACGAGGGTGGCAGATGCAAGAGCGTAACTGCCGGGCCAACCACCTTTAACTTGCCTCGGTTTCCTTCTTCAAGTGCAACGACTCGTACATCCAGGTGGCCCGTTCCTCTGCCTACTTCTTCGACACGGGCCTGGGTGATCCGATGTTCGTCGAGGGTGGCATTCTGTCGATCTGCCGCACGAGTTGCAAGTTCACGGCGGGAAACGGTTACGAAAGAGAAGAACATGCAAGGGCCATGAGGACAACATATTTTTTGTGTTTTTCATGCACCAACGATGCAAGAAAACAAGCATGAGACACGCCGTCATTGCCACAGGGAGTTACGCAAGCGGTCGACGTGAAAATGACGGGCTTCTCATCGCAAGGAAAGGTTGGGTGTGGACAACCCAGAGGGTGTCTCGTTGACAAAAATTCTCCTGAGTCGGCCGTTGGTCACGGACTCAACCCGAATCCTATTGCGATAAAAAAATGCCATAATGTTCAAGTTTCCAACATGTCAGCAGTCATCGGGCAGATCATCAACACAGTTTCCGTACACCAAATATTAGGTCGACCACCAGTTCACATTTGGTGGCCTTGGTTTTGCTTTTGTTGCGAAAACGAGTTGAGCCCATGGGAGTTCGCAGATACTGGTGTACGTCAAGAGCGCACCTGGGTTCTCCATGTCGTGCATGAATTCATTCAAGGTCTTGGTCTTCCGCTCCTGAGCGAGAAGCTGCCCTCCTCCTACAATCGGTTGCCGTTGGGCAGTTGAGAACAGGGAAGAACGCGTGGCGAGCGTCGGGCGACGCAACATCTATTTGGTGCCACCGCCGTCTGGCCTGCACGAAACAAGCCGCATATGATGAGAAAAAAATCGCGATGGGTTCCAGGTGTGCCGGGCCAAACGTACAACGCCACGGGTAATTATGTGAAACCCCCAAGGAAAGGAAAAGCCAACCGAAAATGTCTGACACTCTGCGATGTGAATACTCACCTCCCTCGACAGATGGTGCGAGGCAACACCAACACTCACCGGCATCCACGGAGTCACCCGGGTCACCTTGAGACTTTGGGAGGCGTTTCACGAAAGTGGCAACCTAACACGGAGTGACATCAAAACATGCAAACGAAAGACGCTTTATTCTCAGATGCTTGCCTCAAGCAACAGGGCGAGGTCGTCAGAGGGGTCAAGCAAAATAGCGAGGCTCATAGTCCCATGGGAATGGGGCCTTTCATCATACCGAAGCGATTGATCATTATGCTTACCTGACCCTGGAGGTCTTTGTTTTAAGCTTTCAGTGCTTCCAGTTCGGCGTAGTGCTTCTCCTTGTCAGCTTTCAGTGCCTCCAGTTTTGCGGAGTGCTTCTCCTTGTCAGCTTTCAATGATTCCAGCTCAGCCAGGTTTCCGTCGTGGGTTGGCACTGACACGGGAGATCGAACAAGACCTCCGCCCCATGCGCTCGAGGTTTCGGCAGGTCGGATGTCGGCCTCGGGAAGAACTACGTATACCAGAAGGCTAACCTGGATCGCCCAACAAGCAGAGTTCTTAACAAAATCGCCTAAGAAATTACTTCACTTCGAAGTAGCATTTTTCTGTCAAATTGCCTACAAGCGTCGTCGATCCTAACCAAAATCGAATTTCGCGCCCGTGGTGATGCTGCTCAAAGTCGAACGAAAACGTCGTTAGTCAAGCGAACCATCGGAGGGCCACACGCAGGACAAGTCACGACGACGGTTCGGTTCGCTCGTAGATAAGCGTTGTACCTTTGCCCCGGTGTCGTTCGCGCCCTGAGGGCAATCCTGACCCACTGCCGTCAAAATCTTGCGCAGATGTCGCTTGCCAAGCCGGCTCCCAGCCTGGAGGGACATGAGGGCACACAAGAAAAATCGCCGGACAAATATGGATATCCCAACCAAATAACGGCGTTCCGTGGATCACACAAGGTCGCAGCGCCTACATACCGTGTACCTGCACCACATTGGGTCTTACCGTTTCTCTACGGTCGCTAGGCTCGTAATTCGTAACCTCTTCGATAAACCACTCCATGACGGCTTCCTCGCTCACACCGTCTGTCAAGACGCCAAATTTGGATCCACCTGGAACACGAGAAACACGATCGAGTACCATAAAACACAATTCTTCGGTCGAGGCGGTGCATCTTGTGCTGGCGATGAGGGTTCGACATACATCAAGCGGCAGAGAAACGCAAGCTTCTTCTCTTCATGTTCGCGCACGGGAGTGTGCACGTACCGGTGGCCAACCAGGTCCACATCCATCGCGGATTAATCGTCTGCTAGCATGACAACCAGGAGAATGCCCTCGGATTGCCCGACACCCTACACTCTCCCCGACGGTGCTGCACAGGAGCCTGTCACGGAGCAATATGGAGCCGATCGTCCTGTGCATCGTTGTGTCTGCCAACGTCATCGAATTCCCATGGCGCTTAGGGTCCAAGCATCGTTGTGTCTGCCGAACGTCATCGAATTCCCATGGCGCTTAGGGTCCAAGCAACTTGTGATACTGCACATCTTGACGACCAAACCTTGGCGAGGCCCTATGCTATTTTATACATGGCGTGATTTGGGCCGTATGTACACACACAGCGCATACGCACGCAGCCTTGCATTCACCAAGGCACGATTGGCCACGGGCAAGAACCAAGTCCTTGGACCTTAGGCCATTGTCAAACATTCCCTCACCTGCCGCCCAGCCCACACCCGCTGCGTTGGGCGTGCGTTTTTCTTCGGCATCGTGGGACGTGGCGATAGGACCGTCTGGGAGACCGTCGGTGAGTCGTAGGGCCACCGTCCTCGCCAGCTTACAACACTCAACAGCATCCGGTGCTAAATCGCCTGTGAAGTCAGCCAGTCCGCCGACCAAGGGCACTGCGCCAGACATGAGCTGCAAGGCCGTCCCTCCCTGCACGATGTCACAATATATCGGGTCGCTTTTCGGTTGGCAAAAAACACGAAGGGTATTGCACACGAAACAAAGGTCATTTCGCTTTTATCCAATCCTATTTATTTCTTGGCGCGCTAGGTAGCACCTCTGGTACACGATGAGAGTACCTACCAGCGTCACAAAAAAATACTCATTCTAACGGGGAAAAATCGCTAGAAAGGTGCAGCGGTCCTTTGCTTTTCGACGTTAGACTCAACAGCGCATATTCAACAACAAGCGCTTGCTACGCAGTGTTGTCACGGCTGCCGTAGGGTTTGAACTCCTGACCTTTGCGCGATCCAAATTCTGCAAGATACCCTTAGGCCGACTGGGCGACGTATCGGTCAGCGCACCCATTTGCACGCATCTACCCACGGCACCAACCTTGCCGATGGCACCGATTTTGCTCGTCGACACCAAGCCGCTGGCGACAACGACCTCTGATGGCAGTGTAGTACTCCGTGGGACCCCGGGCTAAGCCCGCCTCCTTCCGCTGTAAGCCCTCGTCCTCGGTATGTCTTGACTGTGCGCTCGAACAGCATCGCAAGATAGATAGTGTCAGCTCGAAAACAGCCTTGGGCACGCCAAGTACTTTGCAGCAGGCCAGGAGAGGGAGGACACCCGCAGTCGCGAGTAAGGGTACAACCTATCATGCTTCATGCGACGAAATTGTCCACACTCAGCCCTGACCTACCGATGTTGTTGAGAAAGCGGACAACTCACTCACCGTCATCTCGCCCAGAGTCTTGGCCATCGCTACCAGCCTGTCGAGCTCCCGCAGCTTTTCCCTGTCGGTGAGCTCAGTGCCGAGACGAACGGATTCAGGGGCAGGTTTTCCGAGGAGGCGTTTTACGTCCTCAAACTTTCCAAGGTTTTCTCGAGTGAGCTCCTCCACCGCGGGGAAGGAAGCTACCTGCACCCGAAACTCGTGCTCCGTATCGCCCCCCCCTGACGAGGACACACGTCCATCGGCAGTGGGGTTTGCTCCCCCCGACTGAAAGCTTGCGTGCTCCTGGGCCCCACTCTGCTCGACGATTTTCTGCTTGGACCGTTTCTGCTCCGCTGACTCTTTTCGCAGCCGGGCTGTCCACTGCGAAAGTGACTGGTCATCCGTAGGCCCCCCTGCAATGCCGAGAGCAAAACACGTCCGTTTCCGTGTGGTCGATTTCCGGTGGTTCGGGCGATGCAAGATTCGGGTACCTTGATGTTAGCTCTGCGTTTGCGTTGCCAAGCGGCAATCGTCCTCTGACCCCCGTTACCACGCACTCCCTCAGAATTGGTTGTGCCGACATCCACTCGAATTCTCATGGAGGGGAATAATCCTGTGACAATGCTTGACCAAACCCCTCCCAAGGAATCTGATCCCAGCATGAGCATCATATCGCGCGCAGCAGGGCAGCGAACATATCTCGATCCACACCAATCCCGCACCCCACTCTTTATTGGAATAGGTTTTTGTGTGAGTTCGTATTGGCGTGGGTGAAAAGTAGAACAGTGCACAAGGAGTCCCCACAGCACATTTACGTGAATAGGTGGATGAGGTCAGGGCAACAGGGGCAATTTGTTCTGGAAAATCACAACTTCAATGTGGGTGTAGCACAACAGATTGCAGCAGCAATCTCGATGTAGCCATACGCATGTGGATGCGACATTATGCTGAGATAGTCCTGGAACGAGAAGTATTGTGGTGGTGGAAGGCCGCGTTCAATAGGAACTGTACAAAGGTAGAACACAACCCAAGAAACAGTTTTCTTCGTCTCGAAGATTAATGAGGTGCGATTTTTGTTGGGGGGGAGAGGAAAGTGCTGGCGAGAAAAGAGAGAGCACCACGAATGGTTTTCAGATCACCAAGGAGCAAGCACACACAGATCACCTACCGACCAAAGGGACATACCCTTCGAAAGAGACAGCTCTATCTGGAGGGATCTGATCTGCACTATGTATGAAAGGACATGCAAGCTGTTAGGTTTTCCAGCTCCGGCAGGGTGGGACATGCAGTGAACGAGCAAGTACGGCTTGAACGAGGCACAGAAAAAACAAGGTCGCGTTCCCGCGGCCTCTAGAACACCAAACTCACCCACGCCGTAGGCGTGTAAGTGATACATAAAATGCGGGAGAACGACTTGTTTCCCCCGGTAATCCGTATTTGCTCATTCGCTGCAGGTCCCATCCCGCAGGGGTTGGAAAACTCGCAGCACTGCAGCAACTCTACCCTACGCTAAACCAGCTAACCGGTGAGTTTCTTGTTTTGCCCTGATCGAGGTCATCAGGATGAATCTCGCCGATGGGTGGGCGAGTAGGTATAATGTTTCCCCCGATAAACTTTCAGGTTCAGGATGAATCCCACCAATGCGCATGTCAGATTCAAGCAATCTGGTGTGACGTGTACATGCCGACTCCGTCGGAGACAGTTACCGCTGAGCTTGTCCTGGTCCAGGCGGAGCGATTCCAGCTTGGCGAGCTGCCCTAGCGACGCCGGAATTTCGCCTGCGTGGTACAGAATACAGGAGGCGAGGAGGTCGTTTGTTCGTCGGTGGCATTTTTCTAGATAATCGATCTCCGTAGATCTTATCCCGCCCACGCCGTGGTGAGTAGGTGCGTTATAGAAGCCCGGTAAGTCCCCCCCAGCTAAAGTTGGGATGACAAACGATTGTTCGCCATTTCCGCACGCACGTTACCGGAGGAGCTAGGGAAGTTGATTGGTGTATTTATCTCGACAGCAACAGCCTTTCAGGAAATTATTTCGAATTCGTTAGAACATGCATGAATCCAGTGTAGGCGTTGGCGGGACACGTGTCCATATATATTCATTTTTCTTTAGCGTGCGTACAAATACGTTTCATTTTCTGTCTGCAGGACGAATTCCTGAGGCGCTGGGATTGTAAAAAGTTGCTCCGCTGGGTTCTAGAAGCCTAAGCGCCACTAGAAGCGTACTCGGTGTTGTAGGAAGGGTGCGATAAATGTTTGTTTTTCCCCGCTAATCTGCATTTCCTCATTCCTTGCAGGCCCCATCCCGCCAGAGCTGGGAACCCTCAGAAAGCTAAACACGCTGTCGTTCTTCCGCAACCAGCCCACAGGTGATTTATTGCCTCGATTTAGCTTATTTCTCGAACTGATTCCATGGGTGAATCCTGCAAATGCGTTGGCGGGACAGATGGTCTTCGAAACCGAACGACGAATTCTGAAAAAACAGAATGAAGTGAATGTCTTGATGCACACTTAACCAGTAAGGTCGTTGTCTTCGATCCAAAGACTCTCCAGCTGGCGTAGGGCTCCTAGCTCCTCGGGGATTCGCCCTGTTCAAGTCGCATAGCAGAAACGTCACCAAGACTGCATATTTCTATAACAAACATTTTCACTCCCTTCCTAGATAATGTGTCCCACGTAGGTGTGGGCGAGTAGGTGGTGTTCCAGAAGTCAGCGGATTTGTTGCACAGAATTCAAACAACACGCCTTGCTTTAGACTTGCTCATCTACAGGACATATCCCACCGCAGCTAGGAAATCTGAGCGCCTTGGTGCAGCTCAACCTCCGCTGGAATAAGTTGGATGGTGAGTCCAGCATGTCCAACACCGCAAATGATTATTTCGAAATCTGCAGAAACAACAGCATGCTGAATCCGGCCCACGCGTTGGCGTGACAAATGCATCTTATAATAAGCCTCTCTCACCAGAAAGGTGGTTTTCAGAGAGCTAAAGCGTCTGCAGCTTGCGGAGATCTCCCAGCGCCTTGTGAATGGGTTCTGTAACAGGCGAAAACGAACGGGCGAAAGTGTATGAACTTAAAGTAGTCAACCTTTTACAGAACATCGGGCCCACGTATCTTCTAGAACATGCGACCTAGTCGCCAACGCGTGGGCGAATAGGTGATCGTCTAGAAGCGAACGGATTTGATGTTCGGAATTCCTTGCTTTGACTTGTACACCTACAGGACACATCCCACCGAAGCTAGGAAATCTGAGCGCCTTGGAGCACCTCAACCTCGGATGAAACAAGTTGGATAGTAGTACAGGGCGTTCAACAGCAAATTTTAATATTTCTCTTGAAAACCCCACCCACGCGTGGGTGAGTAGCTGTTCTAGCAGGTTTGGAGGAACACATTTCTAGAATGCAACCCATCAATTATTCAAAATCGAAAACTTGCTGAACTATACAGTGGAAGTATATAGTTCGTCCCCATTGAACTGGTGAGACAACCACTTGACATCCCCTTGCACACAGTCTAGAAGCGAAATCGGACGTGTTCAGCAACAAAACCAACCACCAAGCCAACCGGTCCGGTGCGGAACGGATTACTATTATTTATCGCAAACGATCAAGAATACGGCAAAAGACGCGTCCGTGAGAATACCCTTACTCTGGCAATGAGAATATCCTTACTTTGCGAGTAAAGGTCCCTGAAGTGGTGAATAACCGTTCACCAACCGAGGTAAGTTCGCTCTTATTGCAATGTGGCAAGGAATGGCCAAGCGTGGGTGACTTTAGTCGGCCTTGCTAGGTTGAAAGGTGAGAGTGAGCTTCGGGGGCCCGCTTCCACCCTTCGGTTGGTCACAGCAGACGGAGGGTCTTTTTGTTGTAAAGATCTTCACACCTCGAGAACGTCGTTCCTAGGACCAAGGAAAAGAGCTGTTGATCCAAGCCCGTTTCGCGGCCCTCAGCACCAAACATCACTCGGCAATGCACCCTCCCTCGAAACTTCGCCAGAGTGAATTGCGCAGGCAAGGATATCATTGGGGTTGGGCGGAATTTTGGATCCCCACTACCTGAGCTGTTAGGAAGAACAGCCTGTCTACTGAAAGCGGCCCCTGTGCAAGAGCACACGAGACACACTACAATAGACCCGTCGGAAGGCATCGGGAAAAACGAAATTCGTTGATGCTCGCACAGGGCGGCAGTAGAGGCTGCTCTAAACATACTCCGAGTATGTATCATGCAGGCTACCTCCACACGCCTCGTTGAAATCAAAATAAACTTTCACAAGTTGAAAGAGCCAGAACGGCGGGCGCTCAAATTAGGTCGGTCGTTTTTGCATTCTATCTCCACATAACTATGATCTCACTCGAGGACACACCCTATAGCGGCGGGGTGTGTGTGTTGGCGCGCTCATTTCTGCTTCTGGGGTGGTGATATCGAGGGTCGAAAAAGCGGCCTACGATTTCCGCAAATTGGACCAACACCCAGTGTGCTGCTTTTTTTTTGCGAGGTCAAGGGTTACGGGTCCGTAGCGGTCAGCACCGCTGTGACAAATGTTAAGGGCGCGGGGGGGATCGCAGTACCTCCTCTTCAAAAAAACAGGAAACGCCTGGAAACGCCTGCATATCTCGGTTTTCCAAAGTCTAACTCCAGTACGAAACTACCATCGTAAATTAACCGCCCGCAGCGGTCGCTTGTGTACAATGTTAGTAGCTGAGGTTGTACCCCTTGCGATACACTACAGACTAGCGGTCCGCGATTTTCCAAACGATCCTTCTATCATCGAGTTCGGTGAGCTACAAGCTAGATTTTTGAAGCTGCTGTGCGGTCCAATTTTGAAACGCTTCAAGCACACGGTGAACACGAATCACCGCCTATGTGAGTGTATGGGGCCGCGAACTTCAGCGCAGCTCTTCCCTCACATACCCAGCTGGTCGCCATTGTCGATTTGAATGCCTAGGGTCATGTATATGCATGTCCAGCCTTTAGGCAAAGGTGCTTGAAGCGTTTCAAAATTGGACCGCACAGCAGCTTCAAAAATCTAGCTTGTAGCTCACCGAACTCGATGATAGAAGGATCGTTTGGAAAATCGCGGACCGCTAGTCTGTAGTGTATCGCAAGGGGTACAACCTCAGCTACTAACATTGTACACAAGCGACCGCTGCGGGCGGTTAATTTACGATGATAGTTTCGTACTGGAGTTAGACTTTGGAAAACCGAGATATGCAGGCGTTTCCTGAATTTTTCAGAGGAGGTACGGCGATCCCCCCGCGCCCTTAATGTTCGGTTCCGGCGCAGATTATGGACTGTTTTTTTGAGACTGCTGCGACCTTCGATATTTCTGCTCCAGCAGTAAACCTGAACGTTCCAGCCTAGGCATCCGGCGCCGCTTTCTGGTGCCTCTACTGAAGATGGAACCGGCGGGAAGGTTGCTATCTTCTTGAAGTATATTGGGTAAAGTATTAATATAGAGCCAGTGTCAGAACAAAGGTGGCGTCGGTCCCGGAAAAAAACACTCACTCTGGCACTCTCGGTAGGGATCTACGACCCGGGTGCGTATCATCTCGCCGACTGGTGTTCTCTCCACGTGTCTGGTGCGCACCAGCGTCAGACGGACTCCGGCAATCCTGCATTAAATACTTACTTGCCTTCGGGGGTTGGCCAGCAGATCCGCGGTATTGGGTATAATAGGGGGAGTGCAGCTTGGACCCTGTCGGTCCTTTTGTTGTGACTGACCACGCCACCGCTTTCTTCGTGCAGCTCCCCTCTGTACGGTTGACTACACCGCGGTAAATGGGTACCTTCTGGAGCTCTCCTAAATACCTGCCCACCACGCGCTTGTGATTGAACAACATGCAAAAATGGATGATGCATGACATGATGATGTGTGTGTATTCTCGGCGGGGGGGGGCACCTTTTAATGTTGCAATCCGCGGGTTCTCCGCTTGGTGACAGCAAGTGACAGCAACTGCTGCTGCTGCTGCTGCTGCTGTGCGTGTGCTTGAACCAGTGCCCGCCACTTGACCTTGGAGAGAGCATGAGCTCGGAAGATGTCGCTCCTGTGCAGCTGGTGAGCCCCCGCAGCGTAATCATGTGACAATGACGACGTGCTGTAAAGGCCGTGCTTGGCAGGAAGGGCTTGTTGGCCTCAACCATTTTTCCATTTTGAAGTTGGACATTGGACGCACACCTCTTTTAGTTTGTTACAGAGTGCCGCACCGGCGACCACTTGTCCGTGTGCGACGTGGAACAACTTGCAAAGCTGGTTAGCAGTTATGGATCTTGCCTTATTGATCCCCCATCAAGTGCCTGGGGTACGCCTCAGATCACGGGGGACATTTGTGACAGAAATGTACTCTTCCCAACGACAGCCCTGACCTGCTGTACGTACGACATGAACGCGACAGACATGTGCAGTGCGCTGTGTTCCCTGTGATCGCACCGCCCCCACACCCCACACCGGATAGTTCACGTGAGAGGAGCGTTTCTGTCGCTGCATATCTACGACCATTCTCTAACTCTTGTCCTCACTCGAAGCGTGTCATAGGGATCTATGGTGCCCCCCCCCCTCCTACAGCCGTACTGGTTCAACCCGGCAGTTGTCAGGAAACATATAAGCGTGTACAAGTACCCCTCAAATTCTCGTTCAGTACTGCTGCTGCTGCTGCTGCTGCTGCTGCTGCTGCTGCTGCTGCTGCCATCCCCGTGCTGCATCCCCTTTGGGCATGAGTTGCGTGCCTCACTCGGGAAGGCCGACCTGCTGCTCCATGAAATCGCCCCCATCCATCAGCAGTCTATACGATGCCAAGGATGAGTTGATTTTCTGCGATGTGGACTCCGCACTGCTGTGACCAGCTAGGGATGTCATGTATCCGTGGGCGGGGTGCACCTTGGCCGCCGTCGGAAGTGTTCGTCGTGTGTGATTCCGCCGCCAGAGCCCAAGATGGTGGGGAGGTGCGGGGAGGGGGTGGAGGGCATTCGAAAGAAAGTGTACGCGCTGTCGACGAGGATAGATTGGCGTGCACGAACAAGCATCTGTGCCGTGCCAGTAGGTACGCGCAGGGTGTCTTTGCCCTTCTTCCCGCTCGCCTTGTATTAGATACAAATACTTCGTAGTACAGTAGATCTCGGAGAGTGCTATAATACGCCGCCGCCTTACTACTTACTACCCGGCCGAACTGCTGTTACGCACCCACCATGCGCGCACGCCCTTCTTCACCCCACGCAACGACGGCGGGTTTTCATGATGTAAAAGCCGGTGTTCGTGGTGCGGGACCGGGTGCTGTTCCCCGGAGGCCTGCTGAGGCTAAGCGTGGGCAAGCCCAAGTCGGTGCGGCTGGTGGAGTCCCTCCTCGGCACCCGAGAGGACGGCCTCCACCGACATGCCAACGGCGGGGGGAGCGGAGGAGGACCTACCATACTCGTTGCCATATTCACACAGAGGTATGCATACGTGTACATACGTGTCAAACAGAGGGAAGGCACGCCTACTTGAGACTCGAGATATTTATGTCGCGAAGCCTCATTGCCTTGGGTGGTTGTGGGTTCAAAAGTCACGCGCGGAACGATTTGCATGCACACAGATATTTTTTTTCCGTCTCTCTTCTTGGAGTTGACGCGGTTGCCCGAGAGTTGCCGGTAGTTTGCAACAGCTCGTTGAAAGATCGACTGCTGCATAGGAGTAGCACTGACGGTGTCCAACGCACAGGTGGTGAGTGAGAGCATGCAAGTGTGCGATGTCCATGTCCGCCAACCCTCTATAACGTAGCTCCTGTGTTATCTGCACCTATAAACGCGTGGTTCAAGCGTCGCCCGTACCCCGTAGCACCCACTCGAACTGGTGTTCCGTTCTTGCGTCCAATCCCAACGCAATCACGTGCTCCGTGTGCCAACTCTCCTCGCTCTCGTTCTCCCTGAAGTATTTCCGTGTGTGCTCCCTGGTTATCATTCTTTCGTAGTAAATCTAACGTTGTGCTCGCTCTATTGTTCTCCTCTCTCACCTGCGTACCTCGCGTACAGCCGACAAATGCGTGTGGGCACTCTCCAAATAGCGTGAGGACATCGACACGTGTTGGTCCTTTTTCATGACTCTGCCAGGACGCACTCGTTGGTCTGCCGAGGTTACCCGTGTCATACATGACCCCCGTGGCGATTTGTATGACGATGCCTCTTTTCTTTTCTTTGTGTGTGTGTGTGTGTGTGTGTGTTGATTCGTTTTCCACCGCGCCGTGACACCCGACACACGCTGCAAGGGTCGGCGCCGTTGACGAGGAGGGGTCGGCATCCGATGACGTCGCGATTGTCCGAGACCAGCAGCAACGGCCGGGGGCGGGTGGCGGCGGAGGCGGCGGAGGCGGCGGAGGCGGCGAGGGCCGCATCCTCAGCACCATGAGCCGTGTCGGGTGTGCCGCCAAGGTGGTGCAGATGGGGAGGGTCACCGGCAGCGAAACCTTCAAGGTGACGCTGAGACCGGTTGCTGGTGTTCCTGCATGTTGTTTCTGTTGTTTCTGTTGCTACTGCCGCTGCGGTTGTCATTGTTGCTTGCTGATGTTCGTGTCTGTTGCTCTACTGCTGCTGGCACTGCTGCTCCTGCTGCTGGTGGTGGTGCTGTTCCTGCCGCCGCGGGCTGTGTGGCTCTGTGCTTGTTTTGTATATCGTCCTGGAATGTGGCGTCTGATTTCGACCTGCTTCGGTCTGCTCCCAGCTCCCCTGCCCTCTCCCAGTTCTCGCCGGACCTCATGCCTGCTCTCCCTCCCCACCCTGTCTGTACATTGATCGAAACGGCCGCATCACTGGGGCTTTGCTGCCACACCAGTATTCTGTGCTCGTGCAAGGCGTGTCGCGCATCCGTCTGCTGAGCGTTTCGGAGGAAGAGCTGATGCTGCACGGGACTGTCGTGCGCCTCCACGATCAGGGTTCCATCGCCGATGCGGAGGTGCGTGCGTCTTGCGGGTTTCGTTCGTGTTAGTTAGGGTGTCCCCGGGCTCGGCTCACCAGCAGTATCAGTACCAGCAGCACCAGCAGTACCGTCAGCACCAGCATCGCCAGAAGAAGAAGCAACAGCAGCACCACCACCGCCAAGAGTTTCGAGGTACTTCGTGAGACCGCCCCCCGTCCCCCAAACCTCCTCTCCGCGCGCCCCCCCCCTCTCCTCCCCCGTCGGGGGAGCCCGATGACTAGACGGCGTGGTCGGGTGTTTCGTCTCATTAAGCCTAACCACGTGTGTTGGCCGGTGTGTGCGGTCCATCCTACGTAAAGAAAAAACAGCATACACGTAGCCGCGCACGAGCACCAGTGAGCGTTAGCTCTTCCGGGCCTCAACGCCAAATCTTGGTAAGTAGATTGGGATAGGGGCCGACGTCAACAAAAGGCATGAAGGGCGGAAAACAAACAAGGAGGAAAGAGGCTTTCGCAAGGCCGGCGGGGGGATCGGGGACAGGCACCCCCTTCCTTCGTCTTGGGGACCAACCACATCTCCCTCTCTCCCGTCTCGCTCTCTTTGCCCCTGTCTCGACCCCCAACCTCCCCTCCTCCCAGGTGAAGGCGCTGTCGCTGAACCTTCGAGAGGCGGCCCAGGCCCTGCTCGAGGTGCTCAAGTCGCGCAGCCACCCAAGGGCGATGAACGCTAGGGAGATACTCGATGCCGTGTCGGCGGCGTCCCCCGGAGCCGTCGCGGATGTCCTGGCCTCGAGCATCAACATCCCCACGAACCAGAAGCAGGCGAGCGATCTCTCATGTCATGGTTGTGTGTGCGCGTTAGCCTCGTCGGCGCGCTGACCGGCTGCTTACCAATGCGCCCGTCCTTCAGCGGGAAAACCGTGCATGTTCGCGGTTGTGCGTGTGTGGGTTGTGTGTTGTGTCTGCAGCGCACTACGCGGGTACTTCGCAGTATTTCGTCGTGCGTGTTCGCGCATGAGGAGGCCGAATATTCCCACACGCAACATCCACGAGTTGGGGGCGTTTGTGCGTGTGCGTCGACTCATGCGATGCAGCATTTTTTTTCACTTGTTTTTTTTTTTTCGTCCTTTTTTTCGAAAGCCCGTCCCACAACTACCAGCATGGATCTCTGTGTGCAAAAGCCGCGGCTGTTTGTGTGCTGGTCTACTGCTTGTCAGACTCTGCACCGTGTTCTTTTCTACGAGTTCATTCGGGGCGTTAAGTGAAGCCGGTGTTCCTGCCGAACAGCCCCTTTCGTTTGGGCCAATAAGCCGCTCGAGAAGAGGCTTCCATCTCCTTCTTTTGCAACGTTTCCTCCGGTAGCGACACCCCTCGCTTGTCCCTCGAGGAGATATTGTACTCAGACTTTGGAAGCGTACCTCGAACGAAATGAGGAGGCTGCGACAAGAGGCATTGTCCTCCATCAATCCCAACACACACCACCTCCCCCGCCCTCATCCTCCCCCCGGACAGGCCATTCTTGAGGAAACCTCTCTCGAGAAGAGGCTGCGGCGGGTGCTGGAACTCGTGCGCGAGCAGACACGGGTTCTCTCGATCGCCAGCAAGATTAACTCGGAGGTGGAGGGAAAGCTCAACAGTCGGCACAGGGAGTACTACCTCCGGCAGCAGCTCAAGGCCATCCGCTCTGAGCTTGGCGAAGAGGTGAACAGGTTAATTGAGCCTGGGGGGGGGGGGGGGGGGGGGGGGGGGAAAAAGGGAAAAACCTCTGGGGGGGGAAAAAGGGGGGCCCCCCTTTTTAAAGAAAATTCCTCCAAAAAAAAACTTGTTTTCGGGAAAAAATTTTCCCCCCAAAAAAAAAACTTTTTTTTTTTTTGAAA